ATCATCCATAACTATCAATCAAGGAGGAGTGTTGTAAATAAAATGATTTATAGTTATTGTGATTATTGTATTCATTATTGTTTACATAGTTAACCACAGACTAGTATATATAGTGATGTTTTGGTTTTGTTCCCTGGTATCTTTTCCTAGTGTGTTCCTGTTCTTTTGTATCTCCCCTTCTCTCTATCTCTCTTTTAAGTTTATAATACAATATTCAACATATCGAGGATGGGTTAGGCGTCAAGCCATCTCTATTCTTTTACTAAAATAACAATGACTTAATTAACCTATTATTTTCCCTACTAAATTAATTTTACCAATTCTAATACTTTATTGTTGATGTTTCTGTTGCCTGTTTGTTATAATAATAATAATGGTAATAATAATAATAATGATAATAATAATAATAATAATAATAATAATAAGAAATATCAAGAGTTGAAACAAGACATGATTAAGATGTGGAAGTTGAAGAAAGTGGAAGTGGTGCCGGTAGTGGTTGGTGCTCTGGGTGCAGTAACCAATAATTTTGAGAGGTGGATAAAGAAGTTGGGGATTAAGGTTCGAGTGGAACATCTACAGAAGACAGCTCTATTAGGAACAGCGAGAATATTGAGGAAGCATATGAGTGCCGAGAACTAGAACATCTAAGTTTATTTGTTATAAACTGATGAGGAAGTGTCTCAATTATAAATTTAATTGTGTGGTTTATGAAATAATAATGATAATAATAATTTGTAAAATTATTGGTACATGTACAATAATAATGGTACACTATAAGATAACTTGTCTTAAATTGTGTATACAATATATAAGTTGTAGCACTCTTGGTTGTAGGTATAGGTAATATGGTATTCTATTAAGATAGGAATGTATTTGTATAGCAAGGTTAATATGGTATATCATTGTGTTATATTAAGCTTTAGGTATGGTATTATAAAATAAGAAAGTACTTTTATAGCAAGGTTAATATGGTATGCATGTACATGTAGGTATCATTGTGTAATTTAAAGGTCATAGGTATAGTAGTAGAAATTAGAAGGGTACAGGTTATATAGTGTAGGTATAGTAGTAGAAATTATAGGAAACATGTAGTTATACCTAGGATATAGGCTATAGTGTAGAAATTAGAAGGTAGTTATAGGTATAGTGTAGGTATAGTAGTAGAAATTAGAAGGGTTGTAGTGTAGGTATTCTAGTAGAAATTAGGAAGCAGGTATAGTTATCATTAGGTTATAGTATAGGTATATATTGTATAATAGAAATAGAAATTAAGAAACAGGTAGTTGTAGGATACAAGTTATATAGTGTAGGTATAGGTTATAGATCTAGGTTTTATTATTTTATTATGATTATTTTTATTATTATTTTATAATTAAATTTATTATTCTTTTATTATTTATTATCATTTATTATTAGTATTTTTTTACCTGGGGCCCCAGGTTTTTATAATTTTTGGGCAGCAATGTAGTGCCGACTCCACATGGCGCTGCCTGGGATCAGTAGTGGCTACTACTGCTAGTGATGCTAAGAGCACTAAATACAAGAAGAATATAACAATACTAAAAGTAAGCTATGTATAAGGATTTTAATATTATCATTGATAGGTTCAAGCTGAAATAAAGATGAAATGTCAAGTGGAATAATACTCAAGATTGAAGCAAGAGATTTATATACTAGTTTTTAATCTTTTTAAAGAACAATAATTCTTTTAAATTTTAATTGCATGTGGCGATTTGAACTGTCATTGCCTGTTCTACAGTTAATGCTGTGCAGTAACGCTAAATCATAGGCGTAGGAATGGGGGGGGGGCTGCAGCCCCCCCCCAACTTTTCAGCAAGAGGGCTTAGCCCCCCCAATGTTCACATGCTAAGTCATGCTTTTTAATGTTGAGCCCCCCCAACTTTTGAATCATTCCTACGCCTATGTAAATGAGCCACCAACACATGCACACCACATTATAATGAGTGTACAAATTATCATGTTGTGTAGAAATTCAAATTAAAATTGTAATTTGTAAGGTTCCAAATTTGTTGAGATGTGCATGTATCTGTAATGAGTTCGGCAAAAGTTAAAACGTTTGTCATTAAAAATAAAAATAGTTATGAAGACATTGCCGACTGCAATCTATAGGAAAGGAGGAAGTCACTCCAGTCTCCTAGTAGTGGTAGGGGTCAGACTTTACAGCCTCCTAGTTTTTATACACGACATGCATGCATTGTTTTCACTACTTTTATGCAGTAGCTACATGCACATTTGAATCATTTGCAGGCAGCCACCCACGAGTTCTCACATTTCAAAATGGCTGCTCGGGCAAAGTTGAGTGCTTTGTTTAAAGAGGCGAAACTAGCTATCGACTCCTCCAGACCCACCACAAAGAAAGAAAGAACACCCAAAGACTTTAAAGAGGAATAGAGTGGGACAGATCCCGAGATAAAGAGAGGAAAAGCTACAAAGAGACTGGAGAGCTCACTAGGACTATAAGTACAACCAGAAATAGAAATAATAAGAATGATCCTTGAAACCCTCGTACAGTATTTATTGGTAACGTTCCTCTATTGACTAAAAAGAAGGACATACTCAAGCTGGTCTCCCCATTTGGTTCAGTCGAGTTGCTATGGCAACGATTGGTTGCAGTTTCTCCTGGTAAACTTCCTGTTGAAGTTGCTAGGAAACTCGGGAAACAGCTGACAGGGACAACAACTAATTTCTATGTTGTTATGGAGACAGAGGAGTCTGCTAGTGCTTGTTTGGAGTTGAACGGACGAGAGGTTGATGGGAGACATATTAGGGTTGATCTGGCCACACCTACGAATGACACTCACTGTTCTGCGTTTGTAGGTAATGTACCTTTGGGGCCAATGAAGAGAAACTGAGAAAAGAACAATTGGTTGAAGTGAAAAGAGAAAAAGAAGAACAAATCACAGTATGAATAATACTCTTTATTATCATAATGACATGCATCTACATGTACATGTAATTACAATGTACTGTATGTACAATGTATGTAAAATTCTGAAAAATACCCAAGGCTATAGCCCATGTTTTTTCAAAAAAAATGACTCTGAAATCACCTCAAATTTTTATTACATTTTCTGATACATATTGATGTCCTTAAGCTGTGTAGAAAGTTTAAGCTGATTCCGACTTCAATTTTTCAAGTTACGGCCAATTTAATAAAATCCCAAAATTTTGAAAAATACCCAAGGCTATATATAGCCCATGGTTTTTTTCTGAAAAATGGCTCCAAAATTGTCCCAAATTTTTATTACATTTTTGATACATATTGATGTCCTTAAGCTGTGTAGAAAGTTTGAGCTGATTCTGACTTCAATTTTTCAAGTTACGGCCGATTTAATAAAATCCCAAAATTTTGAAAAATACCCAAGGATATAATACTATGACCTATGGTTTTTCCAAAAAATGACTCCAAAATTACCCCAATTTTTATTACATTTCTGATACATATTGATGTCCTTAAGCTGTGTAGAAAGTTTGAGCTGATTCTGACTTCAATTTTTCAAGTTACGGCCAATTTAATAAAATCCCAAAATTTTGAAAAATACCCAAGGCTATAGCCCATAGTTTTTTCTGAAAAATGGCTCCAAAATCACCTCAAATTTTTATTACATTTTCTGATACATCTTGATGTCCTTATGCTGTGTAGAAAGTTTGAGGTGATTCCGACTTCAACTTTTCAAATTACGGCCAATTTGATAAAATTCTAAAATTTTGAAAAATACCCAAGGTTATAGCCCATAGTTTTTCCCGAAAAATGGCTCCGAAATCACCTCAAATTATTATTACTTTTTCTGATACATATTGATGTCCTTAAGCTGTGTAGAAAGTTTGAGCTGATTCCGACTTCAATTTTTCAAGTTACGACCATTTTAATAAAATTGCAAAATTCTATACTATAGCCCATAGCTTTTCCAAAAAATGGCTCCAAAATTACCCTCCATTTTTATTACATTTTTGATACTACATACATGTACATGTATGTTTTAAACTTCTATAACTACATGTACATGCTTCTAATAAATTACAATGTCAATAATTACAATAAATTAAATGTCATCTTATTTTTGGTAGAAATTAGATGAAGATGTTGCTCACTGCAAGGATCAGTTACAAGAACTTAAAGCTCGCACCGGACTACTTAATAAATACATTAAAAAACAATCAGACGTAAGTAATAATTATACATGTACATAATACATACAATAATTTAGTTGTCCAAGCAAAATTTTTGTCTAAAATTTCAGAAAGAATCAGTACATATATTTTGCTTTCTTATCAATCCAGTTGCATGCATGCACCCACACATGCATGCATATTAATGAGTTGATTATTATTGTTTTTTTCAAAAGGTCAAAGTTCAGTGCAGTCAGAGACAGCAACAGAATAAAGAGTCTGACCTTTATAACGAGAGGGAGAGACTCAAACAAGAACTAGCAGAAGAGAAGAGAGCACATGCTGAGATTGAAAACTACCTCAAGAAACACATTGAAGTAAAATTAATGATAATAATAATTATTATTATTATACATGTAC